CAACTATTTGCTCATATCTATCTCCACCCTTTTGACTTTTTCCTAAAGGCACATACAGTACTGCAGGAGAATTGACAAAAAAAGAAGGAGGGAGATCCTCCAGTTGTCAATGAGTAAAACAGAACAACAGGGGACAGGAGGGGTTTTAGCTGAAAGGCGGGAGGGGCTGGGAGAGTGGCTTGAGATTGTGAGATCGTCATCTGAGCTCCTGAGAATGACGTCACTCCTTGCCACGGGGAAAGGCGGGAGATGCCATCTCGGGGTTTTCTGATATTTCCAACCACCATCACAAACATGGAGCTCCAGACTTCAACAACAAACAGCACAGAACACCATTTTGACCTGGGACGGCAGCTTGTGTGGGATTGGTCCCGCTGAGCTCTGACACCAACCACAGGGCCCAGAATGCGTAAAATAATGAAACTTGGTGAAAAAAAACAGGTCCCAACACCAGCCTGCCAAGAGAGCTAGTCTACAAAGTTGATGATAATAATAATAATAATAAGTCCTTACACTTATTAAGTGCTTTTGTGGACAAAGCGCTTCACAGGTAATGGGGATCCCCTCCACCACCACCACCAGTGTGCAGCCCCACCTGGATGATGCGACGGCAGCCATAGTGCGCCAGTACGCTCCCCACACACCAGCTGTCAGTGGGGAGGAGAGCAGAGTGATGAAGCCAGTTCAGAGATGGGGATTATTTGGAGGCCATGATTGGTAAGGGCCAATGGGAAATGTGGCCAGGATGCCGGGGTTACACCCTTATTCTTTTCGAGAAACACCCTGGGATTTTTAATGACCACAGAGAGTCAGGACCTCGGTTTTACATCTCATCCGAAGGACAGCCCCTTTTTACAGCATAGTGTCCCTGTTACAATAATGGGGCATTAGGAGCCACACAGACTGCAGGGTGAGCACCTCCTACTGGTCCCACTCACACCTCTTCCAGCAGCAGCCTTAGTTTTTCCCAGGAGGTCTCCCATCCAGGTACTGACCAGGCTCACACCTGCTGAGCTTCAGTGGGGCTGCCAGTTGGGGATAAAACACCCCACTAGTGTTTTCTGGATCAGGATTAGGGATTCCTCCATTGATGACGTCGCAATTAGTCACAGACCGGTTTCTTTGTACTACAAATGTCTTGCGCAGTTTTAAATCATATCCTTTTCAAAAAAAGAAGTAATTCATTTTGGACCTTACAACAGCTGTCCAAAATGGTTACTGTCCAAAATGGTTTGGTTTTTCTGTCATTGTGGGGAATGTGGTTGCATCAACGTGTCTGACGTGGAAAATAATGATGTGTTCAGTGCCAACTGTACAAGTATTTTGGTAACAGGAGAATGAAGGTGACAGGGTCATTGGGAACAGGAGAATGAAGGTGACGGGGTCATTGGGAACAGGAGAATGAAGGTGACGGGTCATTGGTAACAGGAGAATGAAGGTGACGGGCCATTGGGAACAGGAGAATGAAGGTGAAGGGGTCATTGGTAACAGGAGAATGAAGGTGACGGGCCATTGGGAACAGGAGAATGAAGGTGACGGGTCATTGGGAACAGGAGAATGAAGGTGACGGGTCATTGGGAGAGGGAGAATGAAGGTGACGGGTCA